CCCGCGAAGGCCCTCGCGGAGGGATTGCACACCATCGGTCAAATCATTGTGGTGCCTCGTCAGAAAGTTCGAGAGGACAGAGTACCCGTGCCGCTCTGTGTTCCTGACGCTGTTCTCTGCGGACTGCTTGACGCGAATATTTAAGCGCCCAACAACAAACATGTCGACTACAAACTTGTCTTTCCAAATTTGATCTTGCATATGCATCATGGCGTGGTGTTTCGGAAGTAAATACCTCTTGCCGTATGCGGCTGCATGCCTATCCATGTGTATACGAAGAGCGGCCCTGAGCTCATTGAGAATGGCTGCGAGCCCAGTCTGCGGGGCCCTCTTAGCCTCGAGGGCGAGGTCCAAGACAGCACATGCTGCGCTGAAAGACTCGTTCTCCCTTTCAAGGCCAGGGATGTCGAGCAGTCTGCATTCGACAAAATGCCGCATGATAACATACAAGGATATGTAATCACCTGCCTTGCACCGAATCTTCGACTCCTCCTCGGAGGGCGCGGCAAATGCGTCGTAGACTTGGCTGATCTTGACGCCCATTGATAAGGGGAATGTCCAATCAGCCTGCACCAACTCACCCCGCATCCCGAACGTACTTCCCAGCTTGCTCTCGCACGCCCTCACGTAAGCCGTGCGCTCCCAAGAAAATGCGCCATGTTGTAGATAATGGTGCACCCAGTCTGTGCGGATGATGTCAGGTATATCGAGGATGCCGCACAACGCCTCATCTGCTAGAAGGCCCAGTGGGTTTGGTTTGAAGCCGACGCCCTGAATGAGCTCCTTGAAACCCCCAACGCCCATGGCCCCAGCGTCACGTCTCGCCTTCGCCGCCAAAACGACAGCCATATTTGCAGCCTTGTCCTCGTGATCACGCAGCCGAAATGTCGAGAAATCTGAACAAGATATATCGTGGCACCCTGGAATGAGATGTGAATCCTTCTTCCAACAATTGCCGCGCAAAAATGCATGGCTTGTGGGAGCTTGCGCCCGCCCAGTCGAACGTCATCCTGTGGCCGTCGAGGTCGGTTCAAAACGCCTTTCACCGTTGCGAACAACAGGCGCGTTTGGCCGAGCACATTCAACGCCGCGCCCGCGTCTCTGAGGGGCAGGGGGCCAAGCAGGATCTCACGCAGAAGTATTGCGAACAATCTGGACCACTTGCCCTCGACCTTGCCTATGATGTGATCCCGAATCACAGCGAAGGTCATCCAGGTTGCCTCGCGGCTCAAAACTGATCCCCCGAGCTCTCAAACATTGAAAGACACAACCATGGTTTTTCGTTTGTTTTTCGGCCCTTTTTTGTCGCCAACCGTGTGCTCGTCTAAGCCGATGACCATGCTCCAAGGTCTGTCAATCGAGCACGGGCGCCTCGAGAACGCATTCGAGAAACACGTCTGCAACTCGCCCGAAGCAGCCGCCATCTCCTGGAGAACGAGCGCGGGCTGGCAAACCTCCCATCGCCATGGTTCGCCAGTTGTCAAACGCAGATCGACGTCGAACCTCGCCCTCTCGAACAACTCGTGGTTTATAGCGCGAAGCTTCTTATCGCCGACAGGCTCGCAGCCGAGTTTCGCGGCGCTCCGCGCTAACCCATCCAGCGATGTCCCGCCCGTGTGCAGCGCGGACTGCAGTCTCAAACGCTTCTGCGCTGCGTCGTGGGCCATGGAGCGGAAAATGCCGCTGCTACGGATGGGGGAGAGGGGGGGGGCGCATGGGGGGGGGGGGGGGGGGGCGGGCGGAGGAGATGATTGGAGGGGGGGGCATGCCAATTTGGGGGGGGGACAGAGGATATGCGCACCCGTATGATTCAGTCAACCCTACCAGCCCTCTGGGCGTAGGCGGTCTAGATCGCTTCCTCTCCCGACCCCCGTTCCTCGGGCTGGGGCGGGCGTGTGTGTGTGTGGTGCGGTGTGTGTGTGTGTGTGTGTGTGTGTGTGTGTGTGTGTGTGTGTGTGTGTGTGTGTGTGTGTGTGTGTGTGTGTGTGTGTGTGCGTGTGTTTGTGTGTGCGTGTGCGTGCGTCGCTCAAGGTGGCCTCCAAGATGGTCCAAGAGGGCCCGAGACCGCCCAAGGACGACTCCAAGTGGCCGAAGGGCTCTCCATGGAGCCCCCCCCAATACATATATATATATATATATATACACATACATACATACATACACATATATGTAGTACAAAACCTGCTCCTCCTCTCATCCCTCTTTCTCCTCGTCCCCCCTCCCCTCGTCCCTCTTTCTCTCGCCCCTCTGACCATTGAGCTGTTGGTGGACGTGCCCCTATGTGTAGGGATACATCCGTAGCCAAGTTTGGGCTCGAGCAGCGGGACCGCCGCTCTCTGTTTGCGAATTATCCTGGGCTCTCCAACTGTTGCCATGGCGGCGCCAGCGCTTATGCAGCGCACCCTGACGGTGTACGACTACATCAACGAGTCGACGCCTGAAACGTCGCCGCATCTCGAGACTTTGATGCACATCGAGGAGCAGCACAACTACGTCATGTACATGTCTCGTTCGACTTCGAACGAGTGGCACGTGGCCGACTGGCGCGGCAACGTGAGCTACTGGCCGAACAGCATGATGATCGTGCAGTTCAATTGCCTCGGCGGCACCAGCAAGGACGCCGGCGGCCCCAAGCTGGCGGGCGCGGTGCTCAAGACCACGGTGCTGTTCAAAACGAACGGCGGCGAGTGGCACTGCCACGACTACAGGGGCAGGTCGATCCGCATGGTGCCGAAGGAGAAGTACAGGTGGGAGGCACAGTCGCGGGTGCAGTCTCACGCGTGGGACGATCAGGCGGGCTGGCGCGACGTGGAGAACCCGTGGGGCGACGGGCGCGGGCGGGCCCTGCAGATGCGCTGAGCATCGCTGCAGCGCTGCTCGCTGCGCCGCGAGGCCGCGCGACCGCGCGGGCCATTTCTAGGACCTCGAGCGCGAAGCGCAGGTGCTCGAGCAGAGCGACACATCCTCCACCTCCTCCTCCTCCTCCTTTTTGAGCGTGTCGTGTCCTCCACCTCCTCCTCCCCCTCCTCCTCCTTCCTTGCCCTCCTCCCCCGCCTCCTCCTCCCTCCTACATGTGTGTATATATATATATATATACCCTGGCGAAGAACCCAACCGAATGCAGTTGAGGGTACCGCGTGGTGGGTACCGCCTTCGGTGGAGCTCCCTATGCTGCCACGACCCGTGCGAGGGGCGTGCCGACATGGGGCGGGGCCGCCATGCGAACCCTGCCACTGGGGACTTCGGTGGAACTCCCGCTGAGGCCACGAACCGTGTGAGGGGTGTGCCGGAATGGCCCGAGGCCGCCGTGCGAACCCTGCCGCTGGGGCCTTCGGTGGAGCTCCCTATGGGGCCACGGTCCTCGTGAGGGGTGTGCCGAAATGGCCCGGGGCCGCCGTGCGAACCCTGCCGCTGGGGCCTTCGGTGGAGCTCCCTCTGGGGCCACTGTCCTCGTGAGGGGTGTGCCGAAATGGCCCGAGGCCGCCGTGCGAACCCTGCCGCTGGGGCCTTCGGTGGAGCCCCCTATGGGGCCACGGTCCTCGTGAGGGGTGTGCCGAAATGGCCCGAGGCCGCCGTGCGAACCCTGCCGCTGGGGCCTTCGGTGGAGCTCTCTATGGGGCCGCGATCCTCGTGAGGGGTGTGCCGAAATGGCACGGGGCCACCATGCGAACCCTGCCACTGGGGCCTTCGGTGGAGCTCCCTATGGGGCCACGATCCTCGTGAGGGGTGTGCCGAAATGGCCCGAGCGAGCCCTGCCGCTGGGGCCTTCGGTGGAGCTCCTTATGGGGCCACGATCCTCGTGAGGGGTGTGCCGAAATGGCTCGAGGCCGCCATGTGAACCCTGCCACTGGGGCCTTCGGTGGAGCCCCCTATGGGGCCACGATCCTCGTGAGGGGTGTGCCGACATGGCCCGAGGCCGCCATGCGAACCCTGCTACTGGGGCCTTCGGTGGAGCTCCCTCTGGGGACACGAAGCGTGTGAGGGGTGTGCCGAAATGGGTGATGATGATGATGGCGATGGTGATGGTGGTGATGACGTCGATGATGACGATGATGATGATGACGATGATGACGATGATGATGATAAGAGGAGGATGGAGGGGGCAGCGGGAGGAGGAGGTGAACGCGGGCGCTGTCTCTTCAAAACGAAGACCCAACACCACAGGATGGTTGGGAACAAAACCCAACAGCAAATCGGCATGGCGCGCGTTCTCGCCATTTCGCTTCCGACGCCCCCCCGAGGCATCAAGATGGCTCCAAGATTGCTTGGATGGGGCTCAGGGCTCCAGCATGGCCCCAGGGGCGCCCGCCCACCGCCGCCCCACCCTCCCCATCGAGGGGCATCCGCAGCGAGGGCTTCAGCACAGTGCGCCACCGCCCCATCGCTCTCGCCCTCGGCCCTCGGACCCCCCCCCCAAAAAAAAAAACAGCGATGCCCGGGGGGCGGTGACATGCCGCCTGGAGCGGCTGCCATCGGCGGTGTTAGCGTCGCTAGCCGCACCCCAGCTGGTCAAAGGCCAGTTGTAGCTCCTCCAACTTCTCCCCCCTTCTCCTCCTCCGCCTCCCCCTCATCCTCCTCCTCCTCCTCATCCTATTCGCCAGCCTTGTCCTTCCTCCCTCATCTGCTCGCCTGGGCGTCGTTTCTGGATGGGCTGGCGGGGGCGCGCGAAGCGTCGGGAATGTTGGTGGAGGGGCGCGGTGGCCGACGAGGAAGACTACGAGGGGGACTACGAGGAGGGCGACGGGGGGATGGAGAGGGCGACGAGGAGGACGTGGGCCGCTCGCTCCGTTTCCGACGAGGGAGAAGGCGAGGTCGGCGTGCCGCCTGCCCTTGTTCCGACGGCAACCTCGGCCCTCGGTCGAAGAATTGCTCCTCGACGGGGTCGCGCAAGGTATGCTGATGCACAAAAGGCTCGAGGCCCTGAGGAAGTCGTACACCCCAACCTCCGATGGCCCATCAGTCGTCGACGATCATCTCGCACGTGACCATCAGGCTGGCCTTCACGCCGCGCCGAAGCGGTCGTTCAGATCCGACAAGGTCTGGGCCGTGCGAAGCTTGCGGCCCACGTCGGTCAGGGATGCCTCGGGAGGCACGGGGCCCAGACCCTCAGGAGGCCCCGAGAGGGCGCACATGTGGCCCCGAGAGGTGGGGCGTCTTGGAGACCACGTTGCGCTCCCTCAGGCCCTCTAGGGGCCATGATGAGATGTCTTGGGCAGTCCAGGGTATCTACCCTGGCTTAAGCCGCCTCGCTCGCTCCCGCCCGTCCTCCCAACGCACAAGTAGCACCTGTGCGAATTGCCCCCAGGGCCATGGAATCTCATGCAGGGGCCGATGGCCCTGGGGTCTAAGAGCCCTAAGAGCCCTAAAAGCCTGACGCGCCCTGGGAACCCCGAGACTCTCAAGGGCCCTAAGTGCCATATGGGGACCTATAGGAACCCTGAGAGCCTTAAGTGCACGAAGAGCCCTGGGCGCCCAAAGAGTCCTTTGAGCCCCATGAGCTCTGCGAGCCCCAAGAGCCCTGAGGGCCCCGAATGATCATAGGGGCCCCAATAGCCCGAAGAGTCGCAAGGCCCTCAGAGCCCGAAATGCCCCAAGAGCAATCAACAGAGCTCCATGGTACAATTAAGTCATCGGGGCCCTAAGAGCTCCAAGAAAAGCCGCGCGAGCCATAAGAGCCCTAAGAGCCCTCAGAGCCCCGCGCGCCCTCGGTGCCCTAGGGGCCATAAGAGCCCTGAGAGCTCTGATAGCCCTGGGGGCAAACGGAACCCTAAGAGCCCGAAGAGGCCTCAGGGGCCCTGTGGTCCGTCGGGGCCCGATGAGCCCTAGGGGCCCTATGAGCCCTACGAGCCCTAAGGGCCCTCAGATCCCGAAGAGCCTTAAGATGCCGAGCGCGACCACCACCACGACGACGGCGGCGACGAGAGCCCATAAGGAGGAAGAGGAGGGCGGAAGAGGAGGAGGGATGGGGGAGGATTGCCAAGTGCGTTATATGTTCAAAGGGGCTTCCAGTAGCCGCGGAGGCCTTGGCCTCGGCGGTCGTGCTCACGTAGCGGATGGAGCTGCCGACGCCGTTCTGGACCTTCTCGATGTCCTGCGACATGCACTGCAGCTTGGCCTGGAACGCGTTCATGTCATCCTTGATGCTCTGGCGGAACTCAGGGAACAAGCGATGGCCCACCACCCTGTTGATGGCCGTCAACGTCTCCGTCACCTTTTTCTCGATGCTGTCGGCCAACTTGCCATTCGCCGCCGCCACCTTGCGGCTCTCGACGGCGGCCTTCCTCTCCTGCTTGGCCCTCTCCTTCTCCTCCAGCGCCTTCTTGCGATCCTTCTCCTTCCTCACCCGTTCCTTCTTCGCTGCCTTCTTTTTCTGCTTCTTCGCCTTCTTCGCCTTCTTCTTTTTCTTGTTCTTCTTGTCGTCCGAGCTGCTGCTCGAGTCCGAGCTGGAGTCCGAGTCGTCGTCGCCCGAAGGCCCCTTCATCAGGCTCCTCGTCGGCGTCAGCGACCGTCGTATTCTTGATCTTCTTGGAGGGGTGCGAGGCCTCGGCGACGTGGGGCCGCTCGGTGCCCCTGGCTCCACGATGGCCTCCAGACAGGATCGGGACGCGGTACGTTGCGCCCAAGACCCTGCACTGCCTCTTGTCCTTCTCCAGGCTGTTGGCCTCGATGAGCGCGGCATCGAAGCCGCGCGTGCTCCACGCGCCTGGGGGGAGGAACTCCCCTCCCTCGGCGTAGTAGTCCTCGTGATTTTCGTAGCTCCGCATGAGCTCCTTGACTTTGGCGACCACCACCTTCCCGCTGGAGACGTCGCGCGCGTCCTTGAAGAAGGCCTGCTGCGTCTCCTCGCCCAGGCGCTTGAAGTCGCTGCTCGGGAACTCGCCGAACTCGCGGCTAAGCTGCGTGATGTGGACATTGCAACGGTCGCACTTGTACTTCTGCTGCGACTTGCCCCTCAACCGAGTCCTGTCTGCAGTTACCTCTTCGTTGCACCACCCGCGTCGCAACCGAACGTCATGCATGAACGTGGGGCGCGTGATCATCGTCGGCTCTGGGCGCATCTGGGCGGGCGGCTGCGGCGGCAACTCTGGGAGAGGCGCCCCAGGCGGGGGCTCCTCGGCGGCGGCGTCGCCATCAAGCGGCGGCGCGTCCTCGGGCGCCTCGGGAGGGGCGCCCGCTGCGTCGGGCGGGTCGTCGGCGCCCCGCGGCGCCATCATGCTCGAGACGGGGGCGACCGCCGCCCTAGCCTTGGGCTTGGCCTTCGGCTTCGGCTTCGCCGTCGCCTTTGGCTTCGGCTTTGGCTTCGCCTTTGGCCGCGCCCCAGCCTTCGCCGCCGCCGTGGGCGTCGCCTCCGCCCTCGGCGGCGACGCCGGGCTTGGCGGTGGCACCGGGCCCGCCCCGTCCACCGCGGGCGCAACCTGCTTCTCCTGGGGCGGCCGCGGCACGCGCCGCAACTGCGGGCTGCTGGGCGGCGTCATGTCGGTGATGATGGCGTCGACCTCGTCGGCGTCGTCGGCGGCGTCGGGCGGGCTGCCTGTCAGCGCCGCCTCCGCCCTCCCCAGGGCCCGCTCCGTCGTTCGACATTGCGGGCAGGGGAAATCGTCGAACTGCATGTTGTGGACGTCGAGGTGCATGTCCACGCAGTAAGCGCGGTATTTGCGAAGGCAGCCGAGCGTCCGAACCTCCGCGCCGTCCAGCAACACTTGCAGGCAGATCGCGCACGTGGCGTCGTCGGCATCGCTAGCAGTGGCCATCTCGGTCTCCTGTCGCGCCGCGCGCAGGCGCGAGCCGCTCCCGTGTAGGTGGCAACAGGCGAAGCGGAGGCGCCGCTCGAGCCAGCGGAAGACCGCTGGGGAGGAGGAACATGATTCGGAGGAGGGGGAGATGGGGGGGAAGAGGATGCCAGAAGGACGCATCGGGCCGTTACCAACCCGTTATCACACTGTTATCATGGCCGTTATCACCGTTATCAGGCGCGTTATCAAGGGATGTGATAACAACCTGATAACATCTGATAGCCGTTATCAAGGATGTCTGATAACGCGAATGTTTCGCAGTTCGTATTATCAGCGTTATCAAGCGGCGTGATAACATGTTATCATCGTTATCACGCGCGTTATCAACATCTGATAACCGATATCACGATGTTATCTGATAACATTTATACGATGATAACTAGTGTGCTAACACTGATAACAAGGCTGATAATGGGATGATAACATGATCATGCTGGCGATGTGGCAGGAAAGGGCATCCAAGTGTTCGCCCGCGGGCGACAGCCCCCCCCCCACCCACCGCCTCTTCCTCTGGGCTTTCCTGGGGGCTCTTTGATTGGGCACGCATTATGTTGTGCCCCGAACGCGGCTGGCTCTGCATGCATAGGCCCAGGCGCGATGCACACAGCCCCGACGGCGCGGGGCTCGCGTGCATCTTAGACTCGGTGCTTGCTCCTCTTCCCCACCCTCCTCCTTGTCCCCCTCATCCTCCTCGCCCTCCCTGATCCTATCCAGTGCAAAGGCAGGCTGGGCGCGCAGCTCAACGCGCCCGCGATCAGCTGCACTTGGCATCCCACATCGCGGCTGCCGCGCCGCAGGCCTTCTTCGCCACCTCGATCGATGCATCATGCGAGTAGCCGTCGTCAGCTGCCCGCTTCTTGGCCCTGGAGTACATCCTCGATGCGAACGTGTTCTTGTTGACGCTCCCGTCCGAGCCCGTCCACACAACGATGTCGGAAATGAGCGCCTGGACCTTGGGCTTGGACATGGGCGTCGTCGTCGCCGCGTCCTTGGGCTTGGCTTTCGGCTTCGCCGCCGTCTTCGCCTTTGGCCGTCCTCTGGCCTTCGGCGACGAACGCTGGTCCTCCACCTCCTCCTGCTCGCCGTCCTCGTTCCCCTGCTCGCGCTCGTCGGCCGCCTGGCATGCCGCTGGGCGCTTCTTCGCCTGCTTCGTATTCTTCTTATGCAGCATCATGTTCACGGCCTCCTCGACCTGTGTCTTGATGTCCATCCTCAAGGGCCGCGCGAGCTCGACGGCTGGCTCAGCGGCTGGCGGCGCGCTCGCCGCTGCCGACGCCGCGATCGGCTGCGACTGGGTCGGGGGCGCCGCTGCCAACGCCACGATCGGCTGCGACTGGGTCGGGGGCGCCGCTGCCGACCCCGCGATCTGCTGCGACCCCTCTGCTGACGATGTCACGTTGGGCGGACCAGCGTGCTGCGATCCCGCGGTCGGCGCCGCGGCCTGTGGAGGGCTCGCCAACGCATCGCTCGAGCCCGCGCGAGCCGCACCCGTCATGGCGAGAGCAGGGTGTCTACCAGGCCGCCGATTCGCGCCGAACGCCGTCAGGTTGTCCAAGAGATCGCCGCCCCCTGTCGGCGCCGCGCTCTGGCCCCCTCGCATGCTTCCCTCCACCGCGCCGGAAGCCATCTGCATCATCTGCGTCATCTGCTGCATCTGCTGCATCGGCTGTTGCATGTGCTGCTCCATCTGGTTCGGAGGCGCCCTGGTGGCCAGCTCCTGCGACGCCGCGCCGCTGGTGCGGTCCGAGCAGGCGGGCGCGGCACCGCGGCGCCGATCTGATGCCTCCAAGTCTCGAAGGAGTCGCATGTCCAGGGGGCACGCGGCTGGGCCGTCCCCAGGCTTTGCCGAGAACGCGGCATGGTAGACCGTCGGGAACGACGCCAGGAGGTCCTGAGGCGTCTGCGGGAGCTCCAGCATATAGGCGCTGGGCCGCGGCGACTTCTCCGCCGCGCGGTGGTACGCCGTCTTGAAGTTGTCGTAGTACTTCTTCTTGTCGTAGTAGGACATGGTCTCGACCCGATCGGGCATGGTGATGGGCATGAAGGCCGAGTTAGCAAGCTTCAGCGAATGCTCGTCCGCGTGCGCGCCCCCCAGGCGAATGATGCGCTGCGCCAGCATGCTCTGAACTGCGCTCGGTGGAACCCCTTCCTCGAGCAGGCGGTCCCATCCTGCCGCTGTGACGTGGTTCACCAGGCCAAGAAGTTCTGGCTTTTCGCGCGCTGCCGCGCGGGGCCCATCGGCCCACGTGCACTGGGCGCCAGGGCCTGCAATACGTTCAGGTCGTGGTGGCCGTGCCAGTTCACCTGGGAGACGAGGGCCGCTGCACTCGCCTTCTGGTCGTCAGAAAGACATGCTTGCTCCCTCGCAACCAGGGTCTCCAAGGCGTTCGCCTGCACCTGCGATATGGACTCGTGGCGAGGCGAGCCAGTCATGTCCTGCAGGAGAAGTCGCACGGCGCCAATGCGCGCCATCAGTGTCTGCGACATGGTCGCTGCTCTTGGGCCAGCGGAAAAGCCGCAGCAGCGGTGGTACCGCTAGGGGAGGAGGGCGATGAGGATGGGGTCGGGATAGGGGCGGGGGGGGGGAAGGTGCGGATGGGGAAGGAGGACGAGACGGATAGGGGGGCGGGGAGGAGGGCCAACGACTAGAGAGAACCCAGGATGCATCAGCGATGCTGCTATACACCTTTCCGTCACATGCCCCCTCCTCATAAGTCAATGTAAGCATTCCTTGTCGCACCTGGCGATGCGGCGATGCCGCCCCATGCGCGCAATATGTTCTGTTTCGCCATAGCAGCGCACCATCATCGTCGTCATCGTCATCATCCTCATCAACATCCTCACCATCCTTCTCATCATCCACATCGCCACCACCCCGATCATAATGAGCCTCATCTTCTCCCTCGTCCTCCTCCGCGTGTCTTTGACTCACGAGCGCTCGCTTTCTAATTTGCTGTGCCGAATCCCACTCGGTTGCATGGCCATGGAGCCTGAGCGGGCGACCACGGAGGAGCCCGCGCGATCGGCCGCTAGCAGTGGCAGAAGCCGATCGAGAAGCCGATCGAGGAGCCGATCGAGTGCGCTGCTCGACCCGACCATACCCGACCGATGACCGATCGAAAAGCCTGCGCCCGAGAAGCGGACGAAAAAGCTGTAGCAGATGTTCGACTGCATCGATGCAGTCGAACATCTGCTACAGCCTTTTCGTGCACGAATCTGGCTTCGCACGACCTTCGAGAAACTGGTGCGCCCGATCATGCCATACCACCCGCCCGTCGGTTTGCGCCTGAAGAAGGCCAGCCTGATCAGACGATCTCGTATGTGACCATCGATGGTCACATACGAGATCGTCGAGGACTGGGAGTGATCGGGCCACTCTGATCTGTGCGATATCGGCCCGCAGCTCGGCCCTGCTAAACCCGACCACAGTGATCGGCCTGCAGTGCAAGCGCTGTTTGGGGGTCGGTGCAACCGTTGCCGTCGTCGTCGTCGAGTCGTCGTCGTCGTCGTCGTCGTCTGCCTGTCTCTTCTCCTATACATCCCCCTCGCCTCCTGCGCGTCCCCCTTCCTCCCTCCCCCTGGCCTGGTAGCAGGGGAATTGGTGGCGGCAGAGCAGGGCGTTTTCGGACGAATGGCTTGAGACATCCTCACAATCGGAATATTCGCACGTTTCGAATTGAACTCGCAATCGCAATATCCGTAGTTTCGAATATGACACCCTCGCGGAATATAAACTCAGCTGAAACACAACATAGCGGGGGAGCCGCTGAAACAACACGCGGGAGCGGGGAAGCCGCGACGTTTGCGGTGGGGGGGGGATGGGGGCCGACGACGACGACGACGGCGACGACGACGATGACGGGGACAACGACAAGGACGAGGACGAGGACGCCGAGGACAACGACGACGACGACGACGACAAGGACGACGAGGACGACGAGGACGGGGATGCGAGGGCTATTTCCCAACCATCCTGTGGTGTTGGGACTTCGTTTTGAAGAGACGGCGCCCCGCGTTCCTCCTCCTCTCCTCTCCTCTCCTTCCTCCTCCTCTCTCCCCTCCTCCTTCCTCCCACCATCGTCTTCACCTCTCGCGCGTTTCGTGGCCCCATACGGAGCTCGGGAGCTCCACCTATGGTTCCCAGTGGCGCAGCCCGCATGCGGTACGCGCCCCATTTTGGCACACCCCTCACACGCTTCGTGGCCCCATAGGGAGCTCCACCTTAGGCCGCAGTGACGCAGCCCGCATGCGGTGCGCGCCAAATTTTGGCACACCTCTCACACGCTTCGTGTCCCCATACGGAACTCTACCCAAGGTCCCAGCGGCGCAGCCCGCGTGCGGTGCGCGCCCAATTTTGGCACACCCCTCACACGCTTCGTGGCCCCATAGGGAGCTCCACCTAGGGTCCCAGTGGCGCAGCCCGCATGCGGTGCGCGCCCAATTTTGGCACACCCCTCACACGTTTCGTGGCCCCATAGGGAGCTCCACCTATGGTCCCAGTGGCGCCGCCCGCATGCGGTGCGCGCCCGATTTTGGCACACCCCTCACACGTTTTGTGGCCCCATACGGAGCTCCAACGCATGCTCCAGTGGCGCAGCCCGCATGCGGTACGCGCCCAATTTTGGCACACCCCTTGCACGTTTCGTGGCCCCATAGGGGGCTCCACCTTCGGCCCCAGTGGCGCGGCCCGCATGCGGTACGCGCCCAATTTTGGCACACCCCTCGCACGTTTCGTGGCCCCATAGGGAGCTCCACCCAAGATCCCAGTGGCGCAGCCCGCATGCGGTAAGCGCCCCATTTTGGCACACCCCTCACACGTTTCGTGGCCCCATAGGGAGCACGGGCGAAGATGACATCACAATTGCGGTATTCACAACTGCATATGGCCGGGTCATTCGTCAGGCTATTTTTTGTATTTGATGCAGCCAGTGCTGAAGCAGCACCGAAGTCTAATTGAA